TATATGCAGCGTGGAGGGATTCACCTAGGCAATAAGTAGCTCATCCTGCGTGGGGGGCGAGGATCCATGTGTGGTAGGAGAGAAAGACAAGCAATTGATGGGGAAGATGATAAGGAAACATGAACTGGTTTTTACAAAGTCAAGGGGCTTAATTCAAAGGGAAAAGAGAAGATGTGTGATGGGGAGGAGCAAGGTCAGGTTAGAGCCCTGAAGGAAGGAAAATATAAGAAAAGGAGAGTTGTGGATCTTCGAAATCCGGTGGTGGTTCAAATCCATATGGAGGTTGATGGCAATGATGGGGACAGGTCAAAAAACGGCCCAACGTCGGTGCTTTCGGAACAACATCGCCTAGAATACTGATAGGACCAGCAAACGAGATGTTTCCTTTCGAGGTAGGGTTGGCCAACCCTCGTTTCCCATCCCGTGGACTGGTAAAACCGGAATGCTAGAATTATTTTGTTGTTTTCTTTAAGAAATTCTTGCTTCATTAGCCCTCATTTTAGTAATACGTTCCGCAGTGCTATTAGATTAGTCTACATATTTGTGGGGTTAGCGAATACGATCGGTCCTTGGGGGCTAATCGATTCTATGGCTCAAATCCATTGTAGCCTTTGAACTATTGTATTGTTTTATCTCTTGTTACTTTTATTATTAATAAATAAGTATTCTTCTTGAAAAAACTATTCATGACAAAAATCCCAATTTAAGTTTATAATTAGGATTTTTAACTAAATTGTAGTTTTTTGTCTCGCCTAATCTAATATAGTCTGATATATTTAAATATGATCCAAATTGATAAATGTCAATTATATATTTTGTCACGACCCGGACCTACCGGACACGTCAACAACCCGCCGTACAGTACGAATAGTCCACCGCAGTCCAACTCATCCATACTATACCAGACGTCTTGAATACCATTCACACATAGTACATCCATAAACAAACATAATGTAAAATAATCATTTAAAGCAGCGGAAACATTCAATAAAGTGTTTATGCCACACTTTGGTAAACATGGGCATACAAGCCCCCAAATAATTATTCAAAAATAATATCCATGAGCATTAATTTAAATGTTTTTAAAACAGAGGCGGAGGAAGCACGAACCACGTCTTCCTTCCTGGATATTCCCGAAGCAACGGGCACTGGTAGCAACCTTCAAGTTCTACCTGAAACTGTGAGGTGGCCTCCCCCGTGAAGGGGAGGTCAGTACTTGGAAGCATTTGACAAGTACAATGACAACTATACCAAGTATAATCAATGTTTCAATTTCCAAGACCCTCAAATAGAGTGATATTATATTATAGGCCATAACCCTTGGTTACCCTCTTTGAAAATATACTTACTTTATATATAAATACAAGTAGTCGGCCCGTAGGCCCATATGCGTTTTGAAAGTCCATCCCCTTTTCCCCCGTGACTATTGGTCACGAATGCCATAAACCTCCTGTAAATTTATTCATAGTCATAGGGCATTGCCCTATTACGTAAAATAAACATCGTAGAGCCTCGCTCGATTATATTACTATATCAAGCTAGAGCCTCGCTCCTAGTCTCCCTACATCGTGCTAGAGCCTCGCTCTTAGTCGCCCTACATTATACTAGAGCCCCGCTCTTAGTTGGTCTACATTGGCTAGAGCCCCGCTCTTAGTCCATCTACATTATATTAGAGCCCCACTCTTAGTTTATCTACATTAGCTAGAGCCCCGCTCTTAGTCAATCTACATTAGCTAGAGCCCCGCTCTTAGTCAATCTACACTAGCTAGAGCCCCGCTCTTAGTCAATCTACATTAGCTAGAGCCCCACTCTTAGTCATTCTACGTTGTGCTAGAGCCCCGCTCTTAGTCACCATTTTGACATGCTAGAGCCCCGCTCTTAGTCACGTTATTCAATCCCTAAGCAATTTCTATGCCTAGAATCGATTTAGTTTGAGTAGCCTTTAGGGCCTACTCCTAATATACTTAGAGCTCACACATCTCAACCTTAAAGTATCTCTTGGACTACTCAAGGTATAAATTCTCACAACCCAATTCATTTGGATTAATCTATTATTTCTCATATTAACATCTCAGCTAGTATTTCAATACTAGTTGAATAATCTTATAACAACCGAGTTCTTAACCCATAGACACATAGTGCATTCCAATTGATCTTCCAATTCAAATATAATTTATTCTCAATATCGAAAATATCACTTTTACCCATTCATGAATTCTTTACATGAAGCAAAAGTATATTTTATCACCATATTCATAGTTCACTCAACTATCATGACATCATATTCTGTTGAGGTATATTATCCCGGTCCGTTGCTGTTCAGGAGCCCAAGGCATCGCCCCAGCTTGGAGCACGAATGACAACGTCCATTTCAGCCTATTAGGCATGTTTCGGCCCTTTGGGCCCATTTTGGGCTTACTTGGCCCATTAGGTTAGGCTTCCCCCTTTCCTTTACCCCTATAAATATGGGGCTTTCCCACATGTTTAGGGATCCCTTTTTGATCTTTTCCTTCTTCCTTTAGCTCTCTAGATTAGATAGAACTCCATGAATGGGAGCTTCAATACTTGTACTATGTAATGGTGAGGAGAGTCTAATGAGAATGAGAAAGATTGGACATTAGCCTAAAAAGTCACCGTGGTTTTCTCCCTTTCGGGTTTCCACGTAAAAACTGAGTGTTCATACATATATTTACTATATCGTGTTGGATTAAACTCAACATATTCATAATCACCTAATCATACACAATTCATTCATAATTTGTATATAATACTTCATTTACTCATAAGCAATAGTATTCTCATTCCGGCATTATTAATCAATAATAATCCATGAAAATCACATTTAAATACTTTAGGTAATCTTATGAAATTAACCCAAAAATTTATAAGCAATATAGTCAGCCATCCTCACCTTATGAAGTGCTGCAATAGTTGCCTTTGTTAAGCCCTTCGATCAATCCCCGTTCTAAACCGATTAGAAGTGGAAAATCTGGACAGCAGACGAAAGCCGGGCGGCTTTTGCAAAAGCTGGGCGGCTTTCGTGGTCTGCAGCTACGAACAGCTCCCTTTAAGTGGCGGTTTCCGGCGGTTTCGACTCCTATCGATTCCAGGACTCTTCTAAGTTAAATACCACCACTTTATAACATTATTCTACACTTTTAAACGTGTAGAACTCCATATTTAATCCACCATATGATTTCTTAAAAATCATACAACAATAATACTAGTTAAAGAATAGAGGTGTATTCTTACCTCAAGAACAACCTTCTTTCTCCTTGGATTTTCTTTGTTGATCCTTCCTTCAACCTTGGACTAAGTGAGAGAAGACTTTCCTGGAGTTCCTTCTCTTGATATGGTCGAATGAAGTGAATGGGAAAGGGTGAGGCATCTCATCTCAATCAATACTCAAAATAATTTGAGTATGGGGTCATGTGTGTAGGCTTTGTCTCCAAGAGGCTTCCTCCATCATTCATCCGCATCACCCCTCCTAAGTTGTCTAAATTTGACTTATTTAGACTCTACAATGTGTGTAGGAAATTCCCAAATGGATGTAGGAAGTCCCTCCCAATTATTCTTGCTATTTTTGACAGGTTGAGTCAAATTAGCACTCGGGTTATCTAAACATTTCTATCAACTTTGGTTGACACTTTATTGGGCTCCTATAATTATTGCGATGACCCAACTAAATATTTGGTAGCCCATTCACATATACTGGACCCGACAAATAATTTAATTAATCATGCATTAATTAAATATACCAATTTTGTCAAACAAATTTTATTCCCTAGGAAATTCAAATACATATTAAATCTCAAATTCAAGTACATCCGGGTGCGGTGTCACATATTTATTTTATAATTAGGATGATTTAAGTCAGATCATTTGATTTGAATAGGAGCTAGCAATTAAAAAATAGTTATTGTCCTAAATAAGACTAATGAGCCCCTAAAAGGCACAAATAGGACTACTACTTTTTAAATTTCCAAAATAGGACTAAACATTGATTTTCTACCCTAAATACCCCTAAGGTATTAATTTATCATGAAATGTTTAAATTCATAATAAAATCATAAAAAAGAATTAAAAAATCACAAAAAATAGTAAAAAATAGTATAAAAAATTAATAAAAAATTTATAAATAAAAAATATAAACTCTGCCACCTTTTGTAAAAAAATGTCTTTTTTTAAATGCCAAGAATATTGGGATTTCCATTGGATCTGCTATCATTATGGCATTACTAAAAATATTGACAGATTTCCTCCGGTGATGGGAGCTGGTGGTGCTGGGGATGAGTGCGATGATTGGGATACTGAAGAGAGGGTTAGGTGGAGGGACTGGTTTGCTACAAGGGGCTGAGAGAGTGGGAGGGCAGTCACCGCCAGTGCGGCCACGACCGGGAGGGTTGGACCACTAAAACTGGTGGGTGATGGTTGCAGTGGTGCGGGGCTGAGAGTTGGGGATTGTGAAGGTGGTGTGGGGGTGGGGCAGTGGTGGTGGTGCAGGGGTTGGGGAGAAGGAGTTGGGGAGAAGCGGTTGGGGAGAGGTGATCACTGACGGAAAGATGGGGTAACTGATCAGAGGGCGGTCACCGCAGTAATTTTGTGTCATTATGGCCGTTTGCAGTGGTGACGGTGGAGATGTCACTGTGGCCAGAGGTTGGGCGAAGGTATCACTACAGAAATGTCACCGTGGAGTTGTCACTACAGAGGTGTCACCGTGTCTGATTAGCGGCGACGACGACACGTGGCGGATGTGACACAGGCAACAATGGTAATGACACGAGCGTCTGCAGTTGTGACATCCGACATTGACATGAAATGAGACATTGACATGAATATTTGATTGTCACTTTATTTTAGTCACATTTTTATTCAAATATAAAAACGATCAAATTTTTGAAAATCAACTATAATTCAGTGCTCGTAATATTCATGGAATAACCCCTTAAATTAATGGAGGTGGTTAGTTCCGGTTCATTTAAAAAAATAAAAAAGGTGTTAGGTGTGGGTCCACCCCGAGGCCGTGGCGCAATAATGGATTACACCTTTTATCTATCCACGCTGCACATTTCTCCGGCTAGATCTGACATTTAGACGCTAGTCGGTTGCATTCCCTCCCTGAAAATTTTCCGACAAGTAATTGAGACTTCGATGGCGACGAAGACGACGATGATAACATCACCTTCTCCAAAAGTTCATACGAGCACTTTTGGTGCAAGAAGGTTTCAAATCCCTTTTCGTTCCGCTTCACTTTCTTCCAACAAGATTTCATCTTCCGTGATTCGTTTCCGAAATCCTACGGAACTAAATCGAGCTTCGGCCAAATCCTTGTCCGATCCTCCCACGATTTTATCTGAAGACGTTGGTGAGATGATTGGAGAAATCAGTATACTTCGTCTTACGGGTGAAGAAGTAAAGTTTAAGCAGCTCTGGGATCAAGAAGAGGTGACTTAGATTTTTCTTTCTTTCTATTTCTGTATTGAGGTTAAATCCCTTAAATTTCTTATCTTCTTCATGCTATTATACTTATTTTCCTTTTATATAAACATTCGGATTCCAGGGAGTAGCTGTTGTAGCACTTCTGAGGCATTTTGGTTGCGTTTGCAGGTAACTTCTATCCTCTTAGCCCTTCTTCTTCTTCTTCTTGTCATTTTTTCCTTCTAGGAACTTTTATTCGAATGATTGTTAGCTAAACAAATTTAAGAGCTCTTCACATTTTTATGAATTGTCAGCTGGGAACTTGCAGCAGCACTCAGAGATTACCAAAGCAGATTTAATTCTGCGGGTGTGGAGCTGGTTGCCGTTGGTATTGGGTCGCCAAGAAATGGCCGGATTTTGTCTGCAAGGGTATTTCCATTCATTTTTCTATTTTCAATACTACTTTGGGCTGTTACCTACTTACCTAGTTAAGTAGCTAGTCCAAACACCCTAGCGTTCGAGCTTACAGGAGCAGAGCTATCATTGACGCGTCCAACTGAGTTTCATTATAGATCTTCCATTGGCGCCCATTTCCATTACGCCCCATAGCCCCTTAGGTTCATTAAATTACCTCCCTTCAAGCTTTTCTCACCCCCTGGATTCAAAAGAGGAAATTGAGATGTCAAATGGTATAATTTTTCTTTAAAGGAATCTTCCAGTAGTAAATGATACCATTGCACCATTATCCCCACTCTCACTGTCCCACAACATTTTTCTTTTTACCATTTGCTTATCAGCTCATCTAAGATTGTCAAGATAGATATTTTGCTAATGACCGGGGTGAGATACTCACACCATTTGACGTATACATATTTCACCCTTTATGGAAATGAAAGCAATCAGTAAATCAATCAAGACCAATCAAAGCATCAATGAGAGGATCATACTTGATGATATTTGCTTAAATGGTTTTTGATATTCTTGCAATAGATCATTATTATCATGATATCAGGAAAATTGATTATTAATTATGTTTCACCTTATTTAAGTATTGTGATAAATTAAATATAAGGGCTCCTTTTTGCATATTAGGCATTGATATATTAGTGAAATGGTGACTCTATTAGCAGCATGCAGCCCTAGGCTGTTTGGCAAGTTAATATCGCTGGGGAATACCTTAAAGCATTTCACTGGCTTATCTTTCTAGTTTTACTCATTTTTCTTCTTTTTTATTTCAGTTTTATGATTTCTTTTTCTTCTTCTTCTTCTTATTATTATTACTACGTATTTTTTTTTCTCTTCCCACTTTACTCTCTATCACCATTGAGGTAAGGGAACCGCATATATTTTCATCTTAATATATTATTTGGCATCTCTACTTTTTTCTTCAAAAGCTTAACTCTAATGTCTTCATGAAATATTGGGTTGTATCCATCCACAAATTGACACATCTTATGGAATGTGAAATGTGATCGAGTTGTTGTAGAAATATGTGCAACTATTTCGAGGCCTGCTTCCTCCTCCACACTCTTCTTAAAAATTCTGTCGATAGTTCATAGTTGTTTGATAACTAACATTCTAACACCCCTCCTCTGGAATATAATTTACAGGGTACTATCTATCTCTTTTTTCCTTATTCCCATCCTCATTATAAAACATCCTTTTTCATCAACAGAAGTTGTCATCTATATGCCATTTTTATGCAACCCAACTATAATGTCCCACATTTACTGCCAAATTACCTCTTTGATAGCTTTGCACACTCCAGCATCTTTCTAAATGTTTCTTAAATATATTTTCCTCATCAACTCTAAACTCCATGAAGCCATGCTTCTTCTGTCGGTCTTTCTGTCCACTGGCCAGGCTCTTCTACTACTCCCAACACCTGAATTGGTACCTACAAGTGAGCCATTATTCCCACTAGCAGTCCCCACTGAGACCATTTTTTATCTGAGCACAGACACTTCCATGCGTGGAAGAACTGTAACCAAGTAAATAAGTCAAATAACATTGGGTCAATCAATTGTGCTAATAAAAATTACTCTAACTTCTAAAAAGCCTAATGCTAATGTTCTAATTGAAGTTATCTTTTACTGTCTTTGTAGATCTTTTCTCATCAGTATTAGCAATAATTTTTGTGTGTGTTTACTCTATGATACCTCTTCATGTGCCTAAGGAGCCCATTTCAGCACACTTAAATGCATCTGCACTACCAATATAGAAATAAAGGCACGTGGGGTCTTTAGAATGTGGGAGTGGACGCATTAGGTTTAAGGACTTGGAAAGTATGAAATTAGGTTTAACTCAATGATTTATTTTTTATATTTGTTCAACCTCATTTTATATGTTTATAAATATATGTTAACTTGAAGGGGAACCTTAGCACTTCCGTTAAGGTGTTGTGTGACCGAGAGGTACAGATTCAAGTCTTGGGAGCAGCCTCTTGTCAAAAATTTGACAGGGGAATACTTTGTGGGACCCTTCCCCGGATCCTCACCTTGAGGGCATGCCTTCGTGCACCGGGCTTCCCTTTATAAATACTCCGTATATGTTAACTTTTTATTTCTTGAGCATTTTCCCCTTTTCTCTAGCATTATCCAGGATCCACACTTACCCTAACAGAAACTAGACCATATTGAAAGGCAGGAACACACATACCTTGGGAAACATCACACCTTTAGGCAGATGTTAATTATCAGAATTTAAAGGGTTAGCCTCAAGAGGAGAAGAGAGAAGCATGCTAGCGAATACTAAATTTGCTTGAGGTGCTGCTTCCAGAGGGTTACTCTGCTTCCTCTATTTATTCTGAGAACCCATTAACTTTTCGTACACTCGTACTCATCTTGTGAGAGAGTTAGAGAGCCATTTTGGGCGTTCTATACTTACCAACAAATCCATGAGCTTGTTTGTACTGAGAAGCATGTCATTGTGTCACTCACTTTTGATTATAATTACAATTAGGGAAAGAACCATACCATAAGTTCATCCCAGAGCCATTTCAACTGTTTAAAAACTCACTGACAATTAGATGCTCTTGTTGCATACCACCTTAATGTGATAATCTCCCCTTTTACATTAAACATCCTGTAAAAAAGCCGTGGCCAAACATCTCTTCCAGATCTTTCCACACGCCATATCTAAACCTCTCTTCATTACCCTTCATTCACTAATGCATCCATTTATGCAACATGCTCTTTACTAGTAACGGCCTAATATTGTGAAACCAAAGCCTTTTTAAATTGGAATTGTAATTGGGCTTCCCACAAAATTATCAGCCAGCCTTGTACTTCAATTGCAAAATATGCTGAATTGCTGATTTACAATAATCTTTAATGATGCTTATTTTTGTTTGTTAATATCATGAGAACTTTAAAAATCAAATGCTTATAAATGCATGTATGAAAACATCTTTATTAATTGTAAAATCTAAAGATGGTTATAATGTGATTATTTTTTTCTTTTAATTTAGACTGAGAACAGATAGTCATACTGCAGTTTGTCTTTATCTGATATTTTTGTTCTAAATAATTTGCCAATTTTATTTGTGTTCAGTTGCCTTTCCCGTGGGAGTGTCTGTATGCTGATCCTGATCGCAAGGTAAGACCAATTTTCTCTTGCTACATGCGGATTATCTAATCAGATCTTTGCATTATATGGTTCTTCTGACTCTTTTCTTGGAAGATAGGCTTATAATGCTCTAGGCTTGTACTATGGGATCGGCCGCACATTTTTCAACCCAGCCAGTGTACTCACGTCATTTCTCCCTTTTTAGTAATCAAAAGATCTTCATAAACATGTTAATCTATATGGTATTTACCCACTTTATTTCCCGTCTTTGTGTAAATGTAACAGGCTAAAATATTTTCTAGATTCAAAGAATTACGAGAAGCGAACAAAAACTACACTATTGAAGCCACCCCAGATGATAAAAGCAGTGTTCTGCAACAGGTTCGGTTTCTGACCCGGGTCTTCCTCGGCAATAACTCCCTGGAGGAGTTACATGGATGATCCAGATTGATTTAGAGTAACTTTTCTCATCATTCAGATCACAATGGATCGTCCATTTAGTAACTTTACATCGGAGTTTGCTGCATACAATCAGTTTCCTTTAATATTGTCCTCAATTGAAGTACATGCTTTGAGAAGCCAAAAATACTTGAGAGAGCAAAACTGTCATCTTTTCAGGGAGGAATGTTTGTGTTTAAAGGGAAGCAATTGGTATATGCACGGAAGGATGAAGCAACTGGTGATCATGCCCCTTTGGATGATGTTTTTAAGGTCTGCCGCAAAGTTAGGTGATTGCAAGGAATGTCTGCTAGAGTTTATCCATTAATGTTCTTATAGTATAATAATAATACTCCTATACCCGAAAAACTCACTTTTAATACTAAAACAATATTAGAAATCTGTTCAGAATAATAAGAATTGGAAGTATGACTTTTCTTGTTGGGAAAGGTTTAATTAGTCATTTTGTGAATTGCAAGGTTGGGTTCTCCTAGCTTGTATATTCAGGAAACATTCTCACCTCGGATGCGCTTGTATTTGTTCATCAGGACGTAAGAAAACTGAGACAAGACTGAAAATCCACTCTAGCAATAGTAAATGTCATTTGCATGAATAATTATGACACTGACAGAATGATGAATTGAGATAATTTTTCCCAGTATCATACGGAGTATCTGATTTTTGGGATGTAACCTCTAATCGAAACTTGATCAGCCAAACAGCTGTTTTAGAGTATTATATTACTCCCAATCAAGGACAGTAAAAAGTAACGTCGGCATAAAAGTTGAGACTTCAAACTTGTAGATGGGTCTAGTACCCGAATCCGCCCCAATCCCGTTTTTGAGTCATCCGCTTCAACTTCCATTACAGCTTTGTCATCCCCCATCATCACTTCCTACATTCGGTGTCACCTAAACCCTTATCTTCTTCCTCTGCTTTCAGAACCGTACTCGGACTTTCCACCCTTCCTCCCAAAACATCATTGGAAATGAGGTGTTGTAGGATGAATTCATCACTATATGTGGCTGTCTCACTGGCCACTGCTGTGTCCGGTGCAACCCCAATTCCCGCAACAATGAAGCTAGGCGTCACTAGACTCCTGCTTTGCCTTGAACCATAACAGAGAACAAAACTAAAAAAATGACGACGACCACTATTACAACAACTATAACAACAACGAAAAATATACATAATACCATTCCTATGAAACAACCATAATTAAGTCCATATTAGGTAAGCCTTGATTTCATTAGACTTGTACACTAGCAAACTTCACATTTTACGCTATTTACACCGTTTATAACGATATTTACGCTATTACGCAAAACATAAAATCAATTACACCAATCCTTTTATATAATTACACAAAACATAGTGCTCAATGTTAAATTAAAACTTATTTACACAAATATGTCTAATAGTTAATACAATGTAGTGTCATGATCACTTAAGTTTAAAAAATTGAATATAAATTGTTATAACTGTGTCACTACTATAGTTACGAGTCATATTTTTATAAACAAATTTTATTTTGTAAAAATAGCCTGTGTTATGTATGCCTGGAAGTTTTGTTTAAATTACACGGTAATATGGTTTCGGGCAAAGAATTATTGTTACAATTTATACTTGTATACCATATTTGTTATACAATATTTTCTACTCAACCATATTTGCTAGATTTTTGTAGTTGAAAAAAAAATAAATTTCTTGAATTATTAGATCAAATAATATTATTGTGTAATATTTTAGTGTTAGAATATTCCCATATTTATCTTGAATAGTTCAAATAACATTATTCTTGAATAATTCATTGTGGCACAATAAAGTTATCTCTTCACATTCCGTGGTACTAAGGATGGACCAGTCCCGGGTCCGGGTCGGGCTACGAGCGGGTCCGGTTTTAGGAAATGGAGGCCTGGTACCGGCCCGGCTATGTTCCGGGACTGGGCCGGACCCGAGTCGTGTAATGATTTTTTTTTTGGGTTTTTCTTATCTAGTCTTACCCCCCACCCCCACCCCCACCCCCCAAACACCTCCAAACCACCCAGCCTAGGGCTGGGCACGGGCCGGGTCGAGGCGGGTAATGCAAAATAAAATGGAACCGCCGGTTTCATTGTACGGTCCGGTCCGGTCCGGGTATTACAATTTTCAAATTAGGAACCGGAAATTACCCGGTCCGTTTGAAACGGGTCGGTCCGGTCCGGGTTTTACGGTTTCTATTCTCATGCCTTGAAATTAGTAAAAACTCACGAAGTTCCAAAAATCAATAATCAATAATATAGGACATTAGTAAGTTTCAAAATAACAACATAGTGGTACACATATAACACAAGTGAAAAGCCCAATACTTCATAATTTCTTGTATATAAGTTTCAAACAATTAAAGAAATCCCAAAAATATGCAACATAGCCAAAATACATATTTTCTAACATTTGCATTTAATCATGTTGTCTAACATCACATATTAAAGTGATTGCTTTTTTTATATATTAAATTTCCAGTATTAGCCAAAGTTGATACATACATGGTGGGTGGTAAACACAATTTATATATTTTAATAACAATATAAAAAAAAGAATATAACAAAATCATCTTTAACAAATAATTAAATTCCATAGAAAGGAATAATTCAATAACAATAAAAAGTAATAAGATATTTATGAAACATTTAATCAATAATTTGAAAACAAAAGGATGCTACTGCAACTCAATTTAAAATCCTACTTCTAGCAAAGGAAACAAAACTATTTCAAAACCGATTATCACAAAACTATTAATAAATTACTCCCTCCGTCCCGCTAAGATTGTCTCATTTTACCTTTTTGGGAAGTCCCACTAAGATTGTCCCATACCAAATTTGGTAAGAATTGTGTGGATCTAAACCATTATTACTTTATTCTTCCTTTATCAATTTAATATCAACTACACAAACTCACTTTTCTTAATAATCGTGCCATCTTCTCTCGTCCCAATCTTAGTGGGACGGAGGTAGTAATATACAATATATATAACGGGCCGGGCCGGGTACCCGTTATTTTTTAATTTTGGAACCGGTCTAGTTCCTTAAAAAAATTATCCGACCCTACCCGGACCGTTTTATGGAAACAAAAAATGGAACCGGCCCGTTTTGGACCCGAACCGCCATTACCTGGACCGGACCGCGGTTCCAAGACCCGTTTGCCCACCCCTAACCCAGCCCAACCCGCCTCTTACCCAAACCATTCGAAAAATCCCAAAAAAATGGGCCCGGGCCGGTCGGGCCGGTTCCAAGTGGGCCGCAGCCAGTGGTGGACTGAACCGGGCCGGTTCGGGCCTCGGTTCAGTAATAGCAGGCCCGAGCCCGAACCGGGCTAGGGCGGTCCCGGGTCCGGTTCCGGGCCGGTCGGGCCACCCGTTTTTTTTTTTTTCCTTTCTCCCCCCCCCCCCCAAACCCCCCCAAACCGGCCTAAACAGATAGCCCAAGCCCAACAACCCAAAAAAAATGAAAAAAAATTAAAAAAAAAATAGATTTGGCCCGGACCCGGGCCCGGGCCCGAACCGGCCGGGCCGGGCCGTCAAACCCATGAACCGAGCCCGGAACCGCCCCACCCCCCGGGCCTCCGGCCCGAACCGGACCCGGACCCGGAAAACCGGGCCGGGCCGGGCCCGCACAGTAGCGGGTCGGGCCGGTCCCGGGCCGGGTGGCCCGAACCGAGGCCATGCCTAGCTGCAGGCCGAGCCCACCACCAATCCCCCCTGGCCCAGGTCAAAGGCCCGATCCTGAACCCGGTCAACCAGGCTGGTACCCGCACAGTGGCGGTCCGGTTCGGGTACCGGGCCGGTCAGACCTATCCCGGGTTACCCCTACGTGGTACAATGCCAGTATGCCACAATAGAAACCGTAGTTCCTTACCTCATATTCGCATATCAAGTTCTTCCTCACATTCCTCCTCTTTTTGTGAGGTCTTAATTAAATACTCCATCTGTCCTTAAAAACTTTGTCAATTTTCTTTTTTGGATGTCCCACTAATTTTACCACAAAGCTCAACCATACGGTTTTTACTTTATTAATGTTCGTGCTGTTCAAACTTGGCAAAGTTTAAGGAAGTAAATTAAAAGAGCTTCCGACAAATGACATTCTGCTAGCTTTGGATACTAGATTTGGCACTGATCTCGTAATTAATGTTTTATCTCACCTCATGTTGTGGTGTGAGTTAGCTTGTTGTTGTGAATGTGACGCATTGTTTGAGCGATTCAAGATGTTTTTACTTGGACTGCAATTTGTTGGTCTGGTCTGATATGGTCTCGTCTGTTTAAGTCCGCTCTGATCAGGTCTGAACTGGTCTGGTCTGGTAAATGTCTGATCTCTAGATATTTTATAACTATGGAAGTTTGGTCTGATCTGGTGAAATCATATCAGTTCTGATCTGATCTGGTTTGGGACTAAAATTAGTCCTTAAGTAAAAATATCCTCAATATTTGCACTCTCAAGAGTATAGATTGTTTGGCACATTGACAGATGTAGCACCTACATTTTGGTTGTTCAATTTTTTTATAATTAAATATTTGAATAATAGTTGGGTGCATGTATCTTTTTAATAATTAAAAACTACTCCGTATTATTTTAGTCTCACTTTGGCATATATACTTTCATTTTTGATTTGTCCTAAATATATGAACACCTTCCTCAATTAAAATCCTTTATCCCCCCCCCCCCCCCCCACTTCATCTATTTATCTATCACTTTACCCTTTATTTCTTGTTAACACATCTTGCTCATTCTTACTTTTTGGATATTAGAATTTTAAAATAATCACTTTATTCGATATTTTCTTAAACCTCATATACAACTCACATGTATCTTTCATTATGCGACAGAGGTAGTAGTATATGAAGTTAATTAAGGATAAAAGATAGCATATGTTAGGCTCTTCTCATCAGGCCGGCCTGACGGGCTGCCCCGTCCGGCCGAGCCCGTTTGGGCACCTTCCCGGTGGCATTTTTTGATGAAATTTTTTGAGCATGTTCCTCATCAAGTCTAGTTTGTCCATACCAAATTTCAGCTCAAAATTCGATCGGGAAGGTCGTCAAATGATTTTTGCAAGTTAACTGGTCCGGAATATGTATTTTCCGGACCAGTTAACTTGCAAAAATCATTTGACGACCTTCCCGATCGAATTTTGAGCTGAAATTTGGTATGGACAAACTAGACTTGATGAGGAACATGCTCAAAAAATTTCATCAAAAAATTCCACCGGGAAGGTGCCCAAACGGGCTCGGCCGGACGGGGCAGCCCGTCAGGCCGGCCTGACATGAAGTTTTCTCTGTTAAAGGTATATATAATCATTAGACCAATTCTATCCATCCAAATACTTTTCACTTTGCAAAAAAACATTTGGTGCTCATATGAACATTTTGAGGCTACATTGGGAGTTCGCTTGCTGGCTAACTCTAAAATTAGTTGAATTCGTCGATTTTGCTGAAATTTATGACGTGTGACGAAGTAGAATCACCAAACGGACTTTGGATCCGGTGTGATTTACACTATCAAAATTTGTGTGATGAAGACCGGATCGTTTTACTTATGTTAAAAAGGAATAATTGTCGTAAGTTGGACTAAATCTAAACACAAATCAACAAATAGGACTAACTTATTAGAACCAAATCATACTTTT